TCAAAAATAAATGTTTTTGATCAGAAACTACCCAGACCTCGCCTTATGAATGATTAACTGCCACATATTGTAGAGTTTTATTTTGTGAAGAAACAGTAATGTGTGACAGAGACTTAACTGTTCCGCAAACCTCTTCCTATTTCTTGAGTGCGTAACGGTTCAGATTTCAGAGGCACTAACCTGGAAGCTATAGATTAAAACGAGGAGGAGAGAGAGGCCCAAGGCACAGTGAGACGAGTGGGTTCCGTAACCGATATATATATATATATATATATATATATATGACTATACCGTACTCAAAACACAGGTACTAGCTAAAAGTCCGGACACATGTTTCGCCGATATTTCTGCTGCTGCATGACACAGTTGCGAGGGACCTGGCTTCTCAGTCGGTCCTCCAGCGCTCTCAATGTGAACTCCAGAGCAAAATCAAAGTAATAATTCCAGAAGTTATTAGATGCAAGACGTAGGGTTAAGTGTCGGGAACATGATTTTTTAGGCTCATACTCGAAATTTCATTGAACAGTTGAGTCGGAGACGATCAAATACTGTGAACGAACAGACACTAAGGATACAAATTTTGTTTCAAGCAAATTGGTATCCGGTTTCAAGCACACGCATGGCGACTCTAGTCAACTGGACCGGTTTTTTTTTCTGCCAATTAATGTTTGTGTTCGCGCGTAGGGGCTGATTTTCCAATTTTCCACAGTACACTGCGTTGCAGCTGTCTTAATAAATCTTGTAGACGACTTCTTACCTATTCAAATAGCCAACCCTATCCGCGGGGGTACAAGCTGAGCGCGCATTGTAGTCGCCGATTTGTGCGGTTTGTGTCTTCTAACGAGTTCGGTCGCATTCTTTCTGTGAGGAAGGCTTCGCCAGTTTTTTAGCTTGTGGACCTAATTAGAACAGCCTAGTTCCTTGTATTTTTATCCCGACTCCCCTTCTCTCATGCGTCGATGAGCAAAATCTCTGGAGTACCCTATGATTCCGATCAATGGAACCATCAGAATCATCATAATATTATCGTCGGCCTACAAATAAATAACCCTTTGCGTGCGGGTTGCAGCACTCGTGTCACCCAATCATTGTGTCACCACCATTACTAGGTTTTCAGAGGTGACCATTTAGGAAAGGAAGAAAACAAGAAACCACCTTATATCCACAGTTTGTGCACTTGCGTTCAGGCCAGTGTGACTTCACAACGATCCTCTTTATAGGTCAAGAGAAGTCCCCTCGACCCATCTCCTAGCAAGACTCAGTCAGTCCAGGAAACCCCTTAATTTGGCCGACCGCCTAGGTTCATCCAACGTCTCTTTCTCACCCAAGTTTGTTTGAGCCGCAACCTGGGCGTTTCTTAGCATTGCGTGGGTAAACATAGATGTATTACATCAATAGTAGTGAAAATCCGATTCCCAGGTGGCATATCAAAAGAAGAGTGGGCGTTCACCCATGCCGCGCAAATGGGACACATCTTCAACTTTGACGCCGTTGAGATTGTGGGCCGGGGCGGCGACCACACAGCAAGGCAAGTGCAAGAAGCCTGGATGTCCACCGACCGCTCTGTCAACCGCCACATTAATTTGCCTCCCCCTTATCTGACTTTACGAACCTTCTTAGCGGGGGACAGTCACGGCGCGGGACAATCGGGGCCGTCAGTCATCACCGCGACCGACGGGGGCGATTCAGGTAACGGTGACATGCGGGTTGGATGCAGCCACACAGGCGGCATTGGCGGATCACGCATTGGACAAAGGGCGCCATAATAAGGAGTGCTGTGCACAGGACCTCTCAGTCCCTGAAGATGGGTAGACGAGTAAACTACCCGAAACGTCGGATCTCAAATAAACCCCTCCCGGTGAACGCCCACTCTTCTTTTGATAGATGTATTAATATAGGAGCATGCACACACTCCGTAAGGATACCGCGCGCACACACCCCAACCGGACGCCCAAAACGCGTCCGATTGGAGGTGCATATGTGCATGCCTACAAATTGCCGTTCTGGGCGACTTTCACCTGCGTCTTCTACTCCCTCTTCTGCTCCTCCTTGGCCCACTTGGAGTTCAGCCAATGAGAGCAAGGAGTGCACGATCGATGAGAGACCTCAGACACGTATGCTGGGTTCTTCCCCTGACAACCGGCAGGGCGAGCCTGTCTACGCTGTCATCATCATCATCATCATCATTGGCACCATCTGAAACGGCGGCAGGCGCAACAGTCCTCTAGGCGCACTCTTAAACCGGTGGACGTCACGATTGGGTGCTGGCATCACAGCACGAGTGATCTTGCCCGAGTGCCTCTGCGCTCGCGCGGGCGCACTCTGCCAGGCAAGAAGGGAGGGGAGAGAAGGCGGAGGCAGTTGCATCTGTTCTGTGTGTGTGTGCGTGCGTGTGCAGAGCGGAGGGGGGAGGGGAGTGTTTGCGGATGGGAGTTGTGTGCGCACGTGCATGTAGGCGAGTCTTTGATTGATGCTGCACGTGTGATACGTGTATGGTGCGCACGTGCTACCAGTCCCCAGGTGAGCGCGAGCACTCAGCTCGACGCTCGCACCTCGCAGCGTGTGCGCGCGTGAAATCGGGAAAAACAGTGGACCGCGGAGGTGGCGGTGGCGCACCACTGAGGCGGCAATGTAGGACGAAATCAGATCGATTATGCAGCACACTCCTCCTCCTCTTCTTCTCTCCCACCCCAGCCTCTCCCCACCGTCCCACCCTCACATCGTGACCGGCTCAGCCCCACGAGGTCGCGACGATGGTAGTGGTGCGAAAGGGGGAGGGGAGGGCTACAGGCATGACAGACAGGCGAGAGAGCGCAAATCCCTACTTTTATGCGAGTGTGCACACGTACGTATTTTCTGCACTGAAACGTGGTTACGTGCGTGCAGCCCGTTGGTGAGCCACCGATGTGCCCAGAATGGGAAAATCCAGAGTGCGCGTCTTAAACTTGAGATAAAAAATGTACATATGCCAAAGTAGCAATTGCGTAGAGGACATTAATTTGCAAGGAACCTCTGTAACGATGGCCTAGCGACTAAATCTGTTTTGGTATCTGCATCGCTCACATATCGACATCCTCCTTACGATAAGCATCATATAGAGTAAGGTATCTCACCCCCAAGTGACAAAAGGCTAACGTCATTTATCGTTGCTTTTGTGTGCGTCTCGACCATATAGGTCGATGCCTCGGAACACACAGTTAATGAACACAAACCAACTGTCCATCAGCATAGCCCTTGTTCGCCGTCCTTGTCCATACACTCGAAAATGACTGTCACCTCAAACGGGACGATACTGAAGTAGTCACCACAACTAACACAAAACAGGCGCGGTAATTCCTTGAGGTTTTACACTCAAAAATAAGCAGTATCAACCGTCATGCCGCTTGGATTCTTGATTTGCTCTCTGCTCCTAGTGCTTGATAAACGGGTGGCAGGCAAATATACCTGCTGACTGAGTGGTCGCTTGAACGTCACGATTCCTGCACTTGGCGCGGAAAACGTCCTTGTGGGCATCCCCTCCACCTGTCGTTACGTAGCCGCCTGCGAAGGTCATAGGTGGAGTTTCAATGAGGAGTGAGAAGCACACACCACTCAGACTGCAGTGAGGCTCGCCATGCCTCTAATACTGCCATGTATGCTTTTAGAAAGCGTTAGATGGATGCCTAGGTCACATCAGCAACTGCGCTCAGTGTAATACCCAGTCGGCTGACAGGCTCAGACTGTTCATTTGTTTGTGGCAGAGGAAATGGGAAGTTAGGCCCGTACCGAAGATAGATTCATCCTCATGACATGTCTGCGCACTCCTCGCTAATAATAAGTCTGTAGCGGCACGCCCAGGGGCGGCTCCGGCCGCGCCGGCCACCTGCGTCCCTCCCACATCCGATCTTCCCGCCTCTGTCTTGACGTCAGGCCCAGGCGGGGGGAGGGAGTGGGGAGGGATTGCGGTAGATGCTGTGCAAGTTCACTATCATTACAAACTAATTCACACACAATTCTCCCCCCCCCCCTGTCCTCATTCTGCTGTGAAGCATACGGTTGACGTCGTTGGCAACGACAATTGAACTGTCGTGTATAACAAGTTTGACGGGCCTTAAAGCATCATAAAACGCCAACAGTCATGGCATCAGATGAGGCCAGCCGGTGGGGTAACTCGGCCTTAGTTGGAGCTCCAGGCCAGACTGAAATGACGCTTTCCTAATCTGACCATTATAACACCCTCACTTATGTAGGATCCATGATCTCGCCTGCACCAAATAAGACCTAGGGGACCAGGTTGCGTGTAACACGCATCGACGGGTTGTTTGCCTTTGTCAGTCACTATGCCAACGCCCACTTCCGGTCACCCTGACTTTGCTTTACCTTTACACGATGGTGGGTGACGTGGGAAGGGACCGTGAGAGATCGGTGCAGCTCAAGTCTGCCTCATGATAAGTAAATTTGCGCTCATGTCACCGCTGGGCCTACCTCGTGTGGGTAATGGTGGTCCTTATAGTTTGCGATAAATGACATATTGCAGGGAGTTTATGTGATGACAAAGTGAAGGCGTGAGGGGGTGAGAACATAACCGAGCATTGCGCGACATCCTCCGAATTATACAGGCTTCACATTAATTTATTTTCGGCATCGACAGTCGTATGACGTCGCCAGCGGATGTAGCCGATGTTTCTGTGCATGTGTGAGCTGGACTCAAACGCTGGTCAATCCTGGTCCGATAGTCGAACACTCGTTGCTTCACCGTACTCCAATGCTGCCAGACAGCTCAAGTCACTTTTGATCCCGGAGAGTGAGGGCGAAAGCTATAGTGTACAGTTTGTTTGTTTGTTACCTTGTTCAAGAAGGCTGGGGAACATTTAGCGTAAACGGTTTAGACACTAGCATTACCTACTGCCATGATTCGGTTGTCTGACAAATGCCCGTCTGTATTTACTTCCCCTGTGTAGGTGAAGAAGTGGTTTGCCAACAAGCGTGCACGCACCTCGACAAGTGGCCTACCTAAGCCGATGCCGCCGACGGCCCCCGACACCACTGCAGACACTTCGACGGCGGCAGCCTATGTGGCAGCCGTGAAGGCGGCAGCTGCGGCTGCGGTATCCACCCCTGGCATTGGCGTCGGAAGTGGTCTCATCGCTCTCCCCCCAGCGTCCTCTTCTACCAGTGTCTCCGCCTCTCAGTCCTCAATCTCCCCCAATTGCAGTGCTCCCACCGCAACCGTCCTTTCCGCCACGAATCTCATGATTCGTACCTCCTCCCATGCGGCAGTAAATTCATTCAGTGGACTGACCGTGCTCGCTCCTCGTCCCCCCTCCGCCTCTTGCGCCTACACCCTCACCGTGCCGACCTTCGTTCCAGAAACCGCATCAGTGGAAGCCAGGAAATCGGAATGTGAGGGGGCTTTTCTCGCATCGACCACCAGCAACCATGAAGACGACGAGCAGATTAGCAAGGAGGAGGGGGAGGAGGAAGAGGAGAATAATAACGTACTCAAAAACAGTCCCTCGCCTTCCCTACCTTCTTTGGCGAAAGTTGACCAGACTGCAGGAGAGGATGCGATGGTCTCGTCGGAGAACACTGGAGCCGTTCATTCACCCAAAGCATTTGTTTCCAGTCCGCAGTCTCCTGCCGAAGAAGCTGCCGACATTGGCTCCCCTCCCGCCCTCCTTGTTAGTTCCTCTCCCGTCCCAACGACGGTCCCTGAAAACCCCGAAACTTCTCCACAGCGCGAGCGAGACACTCCCTCCCATGTAGCTCCCAGTCCGGGCAGTGAGTAAATGCAAAACGCTGCGGCAATATTTTCCGTCTTGAGGAAAGCCTATCCATGCTTACGACATGACCTCAGTCCCCCCCAGGCAGCAATAGTACTGCAATAGCACTTAGTTATTATAGCATCCCTGCTCCAGCCACCAACACAACCTGTCCATGTGCATTTATGAACTGATTATTCCTTATTTCTGCCTTTACTCCTTCCCTCGGACCCCGCTTATGCCGTGCCATCCGCCTCCTCTACCTCAGTCTCCTTCGTGCTCTATTCCCTCCCCGCTTCCCCAGCCCCCGGCTCTCTTTCCTGACGCCTCCTGTGCTCGTCGTTAGGTGCGCTTCAGCTTCAAACTCTTCAGCTGCCTTGCATTCGCAGTCCTTGTCTTCCCAATTATTTGCTTCCGACCTCCACCTCATCTGTCTGGACTCTGTCTTTGCTCGTCGTCCTTGATCCCCTTGGACGCCATCACCCTCCTCCGGAGTCTTTATTAATTCCGCTCATCCAGCCTCCGACCCCATGACTATCCGACTTCCTCCGCTTTTCGCCTGCGTCCTCGATTAGTTTCTCCTTGCCAGCCCAGCCTGCACTATCTCCTGAGTCTCTACCCCTCGTCCGTAATCTCTATTCCCGCCTTCTGATTTTTCACCCCTCAACTCTCTCTCTCTTCGCTCCCACCCCCATCTTCCTGCATTTGCTCTCGTTCAGCCCTCCCTAAGCCGGGGACATTTTGGGCATATGGCACACTCACTAAAAGCTTACTCCATGACACAATCTAAAGAGGGACTAATATTGCCTTTATGAGTGGCACTGCAGTGTACAAACTAAATCATTGGTTCTGAAATTTCTGTGAACTGCGTGCTTCCCGCCCCTCCCTCCCTCCCCCTCTCTCTCTTTTTTCTCTATTTGGAAGTAGGCTACTTCAAAACCCCTGGCGCACATACACACAAGCGCATATACACACAAACTTGCGCATTAACAAATCAACTTCGCCCTTTGCAGCGTCTCTGTGGCCACAGACTAATTTTATCCCTCTGCTGCTCTGCTTGCCAGCCCTGCGTAGGCCTTCCATTCTGCCCCGTCCCGAGCATTGGTATTTTTTGAGGTTATAGCCACTGACAACACATCCTCCTTGGGTCGCCGAGTTTATAGGATGCATATGTACTTATCTGTGCAATTGTGATAATCCCCCCCGCATTTTGCGAACTGTACTGCCTCTTTCGACTATTGGCAGATCTCATGCGCGTGTGTGTGTGTGTGCCATCACCTGACCTGATCCTCCTCCTCCCTCCCACCCCCCCACCTCCGAATTGTTTAATGGAGGAGGAAGGGGAAGCGGGTGTTTAGGGTCGCTCTGACCTTGTAGTTTAAGTTGTTTTGCTACAAAAAACTCTTTTCTCTCTGTACTTCTCACCCGACTTCATCGTTTTACTCTGCGCCTACCTGGCGCTAGGTCTTGTGGCCTATGAAGATGTACGGCAGAATTCGAATCCATGGTACTGAAGGGCTCGGCGCTAGATCTCCGTGGAACTTGTGCCTCTTGGAATGGTCCAGGGTCGGCCTACCTGGAGCTCAGGTTCTGATTCGGTATATTATTTTCGGGGAGTGACAAGTTGACAGACATGTCGTCATGAGTGTAGTTAGGCAATCTCTAGGTTTACGGACGGTACCCAGCCACTAACAACCGGTGAGTATTTGATGGTGACCAACACGACCTGGGGGAGGACAGTGCTGGATGTTGAGGGAATTGAATTATAGCGAGGTGGCCTCGCACACTGCTGACCTCAGCCCCCTCTTGCCCGCATGCACTATTTTCCAATGGCAAAACTGAGTCAGGAGGAGTGCAGGTGCACTCGGACGCTTCGTCCACATCTTACGCGCGCCACATAAGTGCTGGTTCCTGATGTTGCCTGAAACGGACTTTAGCCCGATTTAGGCTCCTTTGTTAGATTGGGTGCAGCAAACAGTAAACATGAACGACTACTCACTCATTATAGGTAGTATAACAACACTTAGGTTGCCGAGTGTGCGTGTGGCTGGTAACCGGGAAGCTTGATATGCGTCCAGTCTACATTTAAATGAGTCCACACAGGAGGAGGGTGGTAGGCAGAACGTTCTACGCTGCAACCACTCCCCCACTGAACGGAACGGACTTTAGTCCGATTTAGGCTCCTTTGTTAGATTGGGTACAGCAGAGCTGCGCTTATTTTAACCCACACGGTCATTCTCCAACCAAGCTCAACCGTGACCGCATTCACGAGGTTGTGCAGGGTGCTTGAATGGTTTGGAGGTGTGCTGTTTCACCTGTTACAGTGGATATGTTGGAGGTCTTCGAGCACTGATGGCGACCATTTCCGACACTTTATCTCTCTTGCTACTGAGAAAAATCCTTGAGGATTCTGAATCAGACTACTTGCTATCTGAAATGTGAGTTCACAGCGGACATAGGCTGAGAGTGTAAATTTACTACTGAGAGTGTTCTTGTCGTCGTAAACCTGGGTAAACATGCATTTGGAGGTGATTGAAGGGTTCCCACTCGTGCAGTAACTTATTCTGATGCTGGCAAGCTCAGCCCACCGGAACTACCTTAATATCTCTGAAAGCCTGAGGCTAAAGAATTCTAGGGCCAGGTTACAACCCTGAGAATCTTCACTGTTCTGACAAAGATATGTGAAGTCATTTCACTGTGAATAACGCGAACAAGCATGTCGTCGTGAATTTGCTGCACTATGCATATAAAGTTTCTGGGACGCCCGAAGCTCTTAATCATCGTCTGATAGTCATCTCGATTCACTGTGTCCAAGGGCTATTTTGAACTCCCTAGTGGTTACAAATAGTCAGGGAAAGGCCCCGATAAAAGGAAAGTTGGAGGGAGAGACTGTGCATATAATTGCTTGTGAAAGGCAGGCAGCTAGTCGAAAAAGGGTAAACATTAACATCTACTCACTCATCATAAGTAGCATAATCACATTTAGGTTGGTAAAAGGTTATGCGAGTGCGCGTGCGGCCAGTAACCGGGATGCATGGTATGCGTCGAGTCAACATTTAAATGAATCCACACAGGAGGAGAGTGGTAGGCAGAGCGTTCCACACTGCAACCACTCTACTACTGAAAAAACCTTCGTTGATCCTTGTTTTACCCGCGCGTAGTTTAGGGGATGACCGCGCAAAGTGGGCGTGCTAGCTCGAGTGAAATAATCACTGGGAACTAAGCAACAGTCCAGGCCACTCATAATACGGAAGGTTAGTATCAGATCACCGCGTAGTTGCCTGTAGGAAGGTGGAAACAGGTTGAGAGTTGACAGTCTGGTTTCGTAGGGCAATGCTCCCAGATCGTTTGTCACTCGTGTTGTCCGCCCTTGGACCTTCTCTAAGACGGTATAATCCTTACAGTCCAAGGTCTCCATGCCTGAATGGCGTATTCTAGACGAGGCCGTACGAAAATGCCAACTATTTTGGAAAAGATGTCCTTGTCAAATTCCGTTAAGACCCACGTAATGAGTTGCAATGTAGCCATAACCGATAGCCGCTTTCGCGCAATTCACTGTTGGTTTGAGTGAAGAAGTGATCCACACCCCCCAAGTCCTTCTGACTGTCAACTTGTTGCAGTGGTGTGCCATGAAGAAAGTAAGTCCTGGAACTAGAAGCTCTGTAGCTGCCAAGTTGGAGAAAGCTGCACTTACATTGAAGGACATAGGCCAGAGCATCGATCTGTCCTCGAGCCTGTTCAGGTTTGTTTGCCGTATCGAGCCACTCGCGACCGGTGAGTATTTGATGGGAGCCAACACGACCCGGGGGACAGTGGTGAATGTGGCGGGAATTGAATTATAGTGAGGGAGCCTCGCACACCGCTGACCACTGTCCCTCTTGCCAGTGCTTCTCGACATTTTTCTTGAAGTGGTCTGTTTGGTGAGAGTGTGTCAGTGACTTCACAGGGTTTGAAAATCTACACTGCATATTCGAAAGGAGCCCTACAGTTAAGCAGTCTAGAAGAATCTTACCAACAAAGTTATGGTTCTCGACTATTGTTTCCTTGAGCTCTTGGGGGTTCCATATAAAGTTTTATAGGTCAAAAAAGCCAATTTCTCAGAAAACTGGGGGGTCGCCACCTTTGTGGATATTGTCATAAAATGTAATTTCCTCTTAGAAGAGTCTCTGAATCGCCCTGATCTCCTCTTCCAGGATAAATCGAGGTCGGCGTTGATTTGAACTTTCAACGACCCACTGGTCGCCTCGTCGTAGACTAAAAATGACGATTAAGGACACTCTGGTAGGGCTCATCCCCGAGGTCTGGAATGTCCAACTTTTCTGACAGCAGCCGTGTTTCTTCTGAGATAAATAGAAGTGGAGACCTGACCGCCTTTGGGTGGTAGACAACATTTTTGGCCGCGCATAATGGTTCGTCTTGCTGTGGCCAGCGTATCCGTACACGTTTCCTGCCATACTGATCCAGGTGGTCTTTTGCATTTCCCGACGTCGCAATACCTTCCAAATGCCGCTTTCACAGTAACTCCTACGAATATGGCTTTCTAAATTTTTGAAGTCTGCTTTGATTGGTGAAACGATCCAACATCGGCTGTGCCATGAGCAGATCAGGGAGGTTGCTGATGCAGCCACTGCACGTCCAGTCGCAGCTCTGGTGCCCTTGGATCAGTCTCCTCACGGGTACAGGACGGGAGAGGGGTTAAAAATGGAGGTCGGTCATGCGCAATCTGGTTTCGCTGAAAAGCACCTGAATGGGTTTCTTATTTGTTGCGGTGCCCAAATGATTGTGGCTTGAATGGCTTCTGTCTGGCTGGATAAATCGAGTCGCACCACTAAGGGTGAAGTTGCAGTTGTAACTTGTTAATCGGATCTCATGGCAGTTCTCCATGGCGTGATATCCGTGTGGGCGAAGTCTGACTCGCGTAGATGGAGGGGTGAGCACACGAGTGACGGGCGTCGGCGATGGGGGAGGGGGCTTAAGCCAGGTTATCACTACTTCCACACAAATCTCCAGTCCTTTTGACCGTGTCT